GTGTGTGTGTGTGTGAGCGTGTGTGGGGACGGGCACTGGCTGGGCATGATGGGCGCTGGGGACAGTGCAGGGAAGCCATCACCCAGGGCTCCGTGTGTGTGTGCGGAACTGGCCTCCTCCTCTCTGACCCACTGTGCCCTGGCTTAGCTCAACACCAGGCTTGGAGGTTAGGCCTCAGAGGCACCATCTACTAAATGGGAAGCACAGTCTGCCCCCACCCCCCCAAGTGTGTTTCCTGACTGGTCTCCCACCCATGGATGGCTCTACCCGATGACCCTCAGTGGCCCTGGCCACTCACTCCGGCTCGGTGGGGCTCTGCCTTCCCTGTGGGGTCGCCCAGGCCAACCTCATGGGAGCAGGGGGCTCTTGTCCACCTTCCAGCCCCTCTTTTCCCGCCTGGACCCAGCTCACAGGGAGGGGGGTGGTGGAGGGTGTTGCAGCAGCACATGGGAGGGTGCCCTGACCAGGGAAAACTGCAGGGATGAGGTGGGTCTGGGTGGAGGGGAGCCGGGAGGGGGGCAGGCAGAAGGCACTCTGTCCTCAGGTCGCCCCGGGGCAGGGGCCTCTGTGTGGTCTAGTCATCCCAGCATCTGTGACCATCCCCCAGGTCTGCATGGGCTGCTCTGGAGTCACACAGGTGGGTGCCCCGGTGCCCGCCCCCTCCCCTGTTGGGAGTCCCAGGGGTGCTGCTTGGCCAGGACAAAGCTCTCTTATTCCCAGAGTGGTGGTGCTGGGACCCCACAGGTCTCTGTGGCAGTGACGAGGGACATGGGGCTAGCCTTGGTTTCCAGGTGCCCCCCTGGGACCAGCCAGTTCTCACCTTGACCCCGGGGAAGCACTTCCTGTACGCCCGCACTCTAGCCCACTGGAGCAGTGAGGTGAGCATAGAAGCTGATGCACACAGTAGGGGCTTTATAAATGTGTCCTGCCACAATGGCACTGCTGATTCTACAACCCAACAGCCTCGTGCCTCAGGTTCCTCTTCTGGGAAACAGATGATAATTACAGTACCCACGCCTCACGGGGTCGGTGTGAGGGTTGGAGGCCGTGGGGCGGGGACGTGGCAGGCTGGCTCATTCGTTCCTGTGCTCATTCGCTCATTCTGCACACAGACCCTGCTCAGGGCACTGGGCAATGCTGCCGTGCACAGGCCAGGCTCTGCTGCGCACCTGGCAGAGCGGGGCCGGAGAAGCCCCACACCCAGTCCGTCCCTTCCTTAGTCACACCTGGGGAAGGTGCAGGCCCACCCTGCCCCTCTCTCCCTGCCTGGCTGGGGAGGAGGCTGGCGGTCACCGCCAAAGAGCTTCCCTTCATCTTGGAGTTTTCTCTACACGCTGCGTAGATGGGGCAGCTGTATGAACAGACCCCACACCCACTCAGGACCAGTCTGCCCCGTGTTCAGAGGAGGAACGGGCAAGACCCTCCTTCCCAGGGTGGTGCTGGTAGGCAGCCGGGGTCAGACCCTGCTCTCACACCTCCAGCGATGGGGAGTTCAACCCCTCACATGCACTCCTTCCTTATGGGTTGAAACCAGCCTCATCATCTTGGGCATCCAGGGTCCCCCAGGCGTGGCGCTGTCTGGGGACAGCCCTGAAGAGACCTTGGCTCCTGCCCGGCCTCAACCTATCCTGGGCTGTCTCCTCTAGACCCACTTCTGTCCACTGTCCTGAAATAGAGGTGGACATGCCTTTCCCAATCCACTGTGTCCACTGGGCCTCAAACCATGCAACTACTAGATACCCGCTGTGTGCAAGACCAGAGCAGGAAGGATCCAGGCAGCTCAGTCAGACCCCATCCCTGACTGTGGGGGAACTTTGCCTCCGGTTCCTCCTCTGGGTGCCCTGGAGAACGCTCCCTGCCCTGGTCCAGAGCCAGGGCGACCGCATCATGCCCTGCACCTGCCGGCAGTGCCTGACATTTTCCGGCTGCCTTCCATCCCTCCCCAGCCCTCAGGCACCTGTTAACTTTTCCAGCCTGGAAAATCACTGCACTTTGATGAAAGGCGAACAGAGTGTACGTAAGGTTAGGAGCTCCCAGGTCCCGGCATGTGGGGTGTGTGCAATTAGCTCCGACAGCCATCAGCACCTCCACAGAATGGGGGGGGGCCTCACCTGAGAGTTAACTCTCTGCTGGAAAGCAGTGCAACCTTGACAGACAGATCACCCTGGTCCCCTCCCCAGCAGGGCCCCTCGGATGACCTGTCCATCAGCCCCGAGCTCCTCGGGGGAGGCGGAAGGTGGGGCCTGGGCAGGGGTCAGCTGGGGGCTACTGCCCAACTTGGCTTTTTAAATCAGAAGTTGGTGCTGTCCTGGTGAGGGAGTGTGGCACTGACTGCGAGGCCCCAGACTCCAGACCTGGCACTGAATGCGGATACTTGATACCCTAGGTCTGCAGCACCCTCTCCCCAAAGGCTCCCTGCCCTGGACAGCACCGTGGAGGCATCTGAGGCATTTGCTCTGGGTCTCTTCCTCTCCACTGAGAGCCACAGGGAGAAGGTCCACGCCTGAACCACTGTCCCCATCCTTCAGGGTGCAGATGGGGAAACTGAGGCCCAGAGCAGGTAAAAGTCCTGCCCAGGTCCCACTGCCTGAGGGGGCAGGAGGCGGGGCTGGTGGGAAGGGAAGTTCCCAACTGCAGCTCTCCCAGGGTCATGGCCATCTCCGCCTACATGGACTCCTGGTGTGGCCGGCTAGGATGGGGCACTAACGCTGTGGTCACAAACTGAGGCCGGCCACCATCCTGGGGCCCTAGGTTACAGAACCTCAGGAGGCCAGGCACACAGAACCCACCGCCTGAGCTCCCCGGGAGCAGCTGGGAGCTGATGGAAGTGGTGACCCCAGTTTCTTCTTGAGGTCATGCTCATTTCTCAGTTCCCTCCTTAGGAAGGAGGTTCAGGGGTGGGGCTGGAGGAGCACAGAACCAGCCTCCCACCCCCAGGCTTACCAGCCCCAGCCAGGAGGAACCCCGAGCAGTGATGGGGACTCATGCCCCCAAGGCTTGCCTGTGGGGGTGCCAGGGCCCCCTGTGCGCCCACCTGCGCCCAAGTAGCTACAGACACAACAGCACAGGCGGGACCTCCGGCCAGCGCGCGCCTCGCGGGGCTACCCGGGCTGCCGACCCGAACTTGAAGTTTATTTTCCCAACTGTGGCTGATTCATGGTCAGGATGTGGCGGCCGCGGGGAGGGGAAATTCTGCCCGCAGCGGGCGGGGCGTTGGTCGGGCTGACCCTCGACCCACTACCGCCGTCAGTGCGTGCGGGCCACGTCTCCGCGCCGGGGTCGGCAGTCCGCGGTGGGCTGCGCCCTGGTGCGAGGGGCTCCTGGGGCGCCGCCCCGGAGCTGGGAGCCCGGAGCCCGCCGCCCTGGGGCGCACCCCGCGCTGCCCCAACCCCCCTCCCCGGCCCCAAGAGCTCCCTCGCTCGGACTCAGTTTCCCCTGCGGCTCGTGGGGGGGGTGCGCAGAGGCGCGGACTTACCGGGCTGGGGCGCGGCGGTGCTCGCTCGGGTTGGGCCAGGGGCCGCGGCTGCCGGCCCACCGCGGGCTCTGCACCGCTCGGGCTGGGCTCCCGCTGTGCGGGGCGCACGGAAGAGGAGGTGCCGCCCCGCCCCGCCAGCCCGCGGCCACGTGGGGAGCGGGCGCGGCCCGGGGCGGAGTCGGGGAGGGGTCGCCGGGAGGCCCCGCCCTGCCCGGCGCGGCGGCGGCGGCGGCGGCGGCGGCGGGTGCGCCAGCCGGGGGCTCTCCCCTCGCGGGGCGGTACCCCCGCGGCCGCCGCCCCCAGAGGTCGCCCCTTCCCCACCCTGCTGGGCTCGCTCCTGGCGGGCGGGGGTGGCGGTGAGGGCGGAGCACACGGAGCGGGGGGCCTGGGAAACAACTGGAAGCGGTCCCCCCACCTCAGACCTCCCTGCGGGCCGCCTCCCTGGTCTCCCCTGCGCCCCATCTTCTCGCCTCCGACCCTTCCTCCGGGTCCAGCCCCCACTGGCAGCAAGCTGTCTGACCCGCTCAGCCACAGGGCTCGGGCAAAGTCAAAGTCGGGCTGTCGTTCATCTGCCTCTGCCCCCTACCTGGGACCCCTGCTCTGGCCAGCCGGATCCTGCGTCTGAGGGTCCCTCCCCTGCGGGCCTCTCAGCAGCCCTACCAGGGCCCACCCAGGATGGGGTCTGAGGGGTCTGGGGCAGCCTGAACTGGCTGGGCCTGCAGGCAACAGGCCCGAGGAAGCTGGCCCTGCTCGCGGCCTCCAGGAGTGCTGTGGCCACGTTCTCTGCCGTGCCTCTTCTTGCCCTCTGCCTCGTCAATCCTGCTGGACTGCAGGACCTGGTCCACGATCCCCACATTGCCCAGGGGGGCCTGCCCACAGCAGGCCCAGGAAGCCTGGCTGACCCGCTAGGGAAAGGCGGCCCCCAGCTCTGGAAGTCCCTTTTGATATCTAACCCTCAGCTGGAGCTCACAGGGAGCAGACTGCCCCAGGCCTGAGGGCCCAGGGGACCATGGGTGCATCAGGGGGCGGGTGGAGGCAGGCGGGGCTCTGTCCAACCCTGGTCTGACGGCGGAGACATAGCCCCTGCCCTGAGGGCCCGGCTCCAGCACTCAGTGTGTAGGTCTGGCCTGGACATCGACTTCAAGCCTCGGCTTCCCCGCCTGTCAAGGAGAACGACAGGAACTTCTAAAGCTTGTAATCAGGGCAAGATGAGAAAATGCGGATAGAGCATCCCTGTCCCTGGGTTTGTCTGACAAACCTTTCCAGAGACCTGTGGAATTCAGACCCTGGGGAGGCCGGCCGGGTGGGTGGGACTGACTGACAACGGAAGGGCATGAGGCAGGGGGCAGGGCACTGGGTGCAGATGCTTAGGGCCAGGTGCTTTCCCAGCCTTGCCCCAGCTTCTGCGCCAGGACCCACCGTGTGCCTCTGTCAGGTGGGAATAGGGCCTGTAACTGCCCACTCCCTGCCTCTGCCCGGCCCAGGAAATCTTCTTGGGTCAGCTCCAGTGCAGGAGTGGCTTCTGGCAACAAGCCAGTGCCGGATGAGGGCCCCTGAGTACCTAGGAGAGCCAGCCAAGAAAGGTGCTTGCTGACTCTTGGACACCCTCCAACCTGGAGACGCGGAGATGTCATGGCCACTTCTGGATGGGGACTCAGCAATTCTTGGAATGCACCGAGTCCTTGCACGGGCGAGTGTGCCTCTGCCTGGAAGGCTGGCCAGCCCTCCCCTGTCTTACTCCCTGCCCCTCTCCTTGACCCTCTGAGCTTCAGGGCCTCCTCCTGGAAGCCTTCCTGCCCTCCCTGGAGCTGGGTTTCAGGCCTCTCCATGCTCTCCTGGATCCCAGAGCCCGACACCCAGCGCTGGCAGGACCTGGAGGTGGGGCAGGAGACACGGGCCGGCTGACTCACTGCTCTCCTGAGCTGGCGCCTGGCTGCTACTGGCTGTGGTCAGTGGGTGTGTTTGTTGACCTGGTGGATGGAAGAGTGCAGTGGAGGAAAGAGTGACCTTCTAGCCTTGGGCCTGGGCTTGGGAGGATGGCCGAGCCGGGGGCTCAGCGTTGAGCAGGATCTCTGTGCCCCGCAGCCCTACTCTCACCCCCGGGGCCCGGGGGCTGGGCAGAATCCTGAGCCTCACCCGGAGACTGGGCGGAGGCCTGGCCTGGCCGGGGTCTGCATCCCAGCCAACTGGCCAGCCCTACTGCGGCCCACTCAGCGGTGAGGCCCCCTGCCCCAACGGAGGAGAGGGAAGCTGCAGGGGGCCGGCACCAGCGGGGTGGGCTCCTGCCCAGGGCTTTCTCCCTTGCGTACCTGCCTGCTGCAGGCAGGCCCTGGGACAGGAGTCCCCAGTCCAAGGCCTCATGGGCAGGCACCAGGGAGAGGCACATCTGTGCTGCACCCTGAGGGCAGAGTCAGTTCACTGCAGGCCAACGGGTAACCGCCGGAGCCGGACGAAGACAGCAGGGAGTGTGTGTCTCTGTGGGGCTGTGTCCATGTGCAGTGGGTGGCCGAGGTCAGGGGCCTGGCAGGTTGCGGGTACGGACACTGCTCTCAGAGTGGCTTTCCCTCTGGCCTTGGGCTCTGACCCACCATGCCTCAGCTTTGTAAGGCTCATCCTGCCTTAACCACCGAGACACCCCCCCAACCTGGGCCCCCATTTCTTCTAGTGACTCTACACCCCCAGGCACGCCCCATCCAGGCCTCCTTCTGACCTGGTTTCCTGTCCCACCTCGGAAACTTCCTGCAGCCAGGACAGCACACTCAGCCCGTCTAATGATGGACGTTCTTTCTGGAAGCCATGTCCCCCTGGCAGGTCTCTTCCCGGGTCCTGGGTCTCTTTTCGGAGCTGGGGGTGCACCCGTGGCTACCTCCAGCTCTGGATACCCAGATGCCTGAGGACAAGGAACACGCTGGAGCTCCAACACGTGGCCTGCCGCCTCTGACACACTGGCTGGCGACCGCGTGGCACTGGGGGAGCATGCACCCCTCCTCCACGCTCCGGCAAAGCAAGGGTGCCCTCCCATCCCCCCGGACCTGCACAGAGCTGGCCACCGCCTCTCGTCAGGAAGCAGAACTCGGAGACTGGGATGAGCATGCTTTGGTTCTGCCAGTGTGAGCTGTGTTGGGAGCAGGAAGGCAGGCGTGGGCATTTCTCAGAGAGCGGTCTCCCTGCCTGACGTGTGATGCGGAGGTGAAAGCCATGACAAACCTGAGTGTGGTGGGGGGGGGTCACCCATGAGCCCAGAGGGGCCCCCAGGGGCCCCCAGAGACCCTGGGCAGCAGCCTGGCCTTCAGTTTCATTTCCCTGGACAAGCACCCAGAATGCCCTTTACTGCTTTCATTTTGAAACATTTTTCGTTTTATTTCCTTCCTGGGATGCCCTGAGATGATCTCTGACACTGCTACAGAATGGAGTCAGCAAAAGCATGCCGAACCACTGACCCACCCACCTGTCCACCCACCCACCTGTCCATCTGTCCATCTACCCACCCTTCCGTCCACCCACCCGCCCATTCACCCACCCATCTGCCCACCTACCCACCCATCTATCCACCCACCTGTCCATTTGTCCATCTACCCACCCACCCACCTGCCCACCCACCCACACACCCACTGGTCCATCCATTCATCTACTTCAGGGCTAGTTCTACCTGGTGAGTAAGAATCTGGGTACCCAGCCTTGCCCCAGAGCAGCTGCGGCACCTCGGGCAGCCATTCTCCCTCTGTGCTTGTCCATAAGGACGCCACACCTCCGGTCACCTCTGGACAGGGAAGCTGTAGTGGGAGGCAGGGCCTCCCAGCGTCCCTGTCTCTCCCTCAGCACTGTGACCCCTTGGCCTCAGTACCTGCTCACGGCAGCCTCTCAGAGTTTCCCAAAGTTCCTCTGTGTTCCCAGTTCAAACTGCAGGAAGCCCCTGAGTGCCAGGCTGTTGGTGGCTGCTTGCAGGAGGCTGGGGTCAGTCTGGGCCTACCCCTGGTCGGGGATCGGGGTCCAGGAGATGGGACCGCACAGCGGCTCTCAGGAGGGACAATGGCCAGGCGGGTCAGTAGAAGCTTGGGTCAGGGAGTGGCCACTCCCCCCTTCATTTGAGCACCCACACACACTCACAGGACACTCATGTTTTGTGAGCTTCCCTACTGGTTAACACGTATTTCTAACCCTAAAACCACAGCCATTTGGGAACATGCCCAGGGCTGCAAACACTTTGAGTCCCAAACGAGCAGGTCCCCAGCTGAGGCCGGAGGAGGCGACGCCCTGCCTCCTGGTCTCATTCCACACTGTGAGCAAGGGCCCTTCTCCGCCTGTCCAGCAACGCGCGTTCCGCGTTTTCGGAGATTCCGCCGTTGAAATGGCTGGGGCACGCCTCCTGGGAACACCTGCGTCAGGAGGCTTCCTTCAGGGGCCGGTTACAGAGCGGCTGGCCAGAGCTCGGAAGGAGTGAGCCCGCCGCGTCCAGATCCTTGAGCAACACAGCTTTGAACTGGTGGGTCCACTTAGACACGGATTCTTTCTCAATAAATGCGGTCCAGTGCCGCAACGTGTATTAACTGAGGGTTTGTGTTACCGGTCAAGTTTTGGGGTAGTTAAAAGTTATACAGGGATTTTCGACTGTGTGTGGGGGGTGGTCAGCACAGATTTCAGGGGTCAATTCTACACTAAATTAGGTGTCTCTAACCAGAAACACACACAGAACCAGGTCACATGTTGATTAGCCGGTGACATGTTGGCCAGAAGCTGGCAGACCCTGACCCTGGTCCCCTAGAAGCAAATCCGGTGTTAGTGGTGACCATAGACAGCCACCGCCAAGCCCCAGGGCTGCCGAGACTGTTGGGGCCCTACCGCTGAGGGCAGGCATGGGGGACCTGCTCCTCTGCAGGCCAAGGATGCTGAGCTGCATGGAGCCTGGGGTGCTGGCAGAGCTGGCCGGTCTCTGGGTCTGTGGTCCCTGCGTCCGTGGCCCGTTGCCCTCAGGCTCCTCTCTGAGCTGGCTTAGGCCAGTGATCCCTCGGTCCCCCAGGCAGTTGGTGGCACGCCCTGAGGGGGTGGTGTGCCCGGGGTCATGGCTGGAGATGCAGCCTGCCAAGCAGGGAGCAGCCCTAGGGCTTCTGCAGAGCC